TGCGCAAGGTATCGTAAATGAAAAAGCATTTCCGCACATTCTTTAGTTTAACATGGTAATTATTTGAAAGGCTGCATCTATATACAGTTACGTAAACGGNAGATATGTCTATGGTAGGTTGGTATATATAATTGAGTTTTTAAAAGGGGGCGTTGCCCTTAACATAGGCTTGAAATTTTTTATCAGCCATAACTTCGGAACCCCATTTAATTCCTTCTGACATGGGGTGAAACCCGCGAGTAAAAGCTAGTAATAAATAAACGCAGTCATTATAATAAAATAACATTCAGATACTCCATTATACTGAAAAGCGTACGCTTGGAATATACCTTAACTACACGTATGTACATACATACGTATATATTACCACCATAATTCATATATTTGTGCATATTCCCACATTCATTCCAACCGAAAAGCATTTGCTTGCATTACTTACGTATACATGTGTATGTACTTTCACCTTTCACTTCATGCAATAAATTTCACGCTTTCAATTTTTTATATTTAATTGATGAATATTCCGCCCTATGTTGAATATCGTCATCGTCAGTAAAAGTGATCATACGGCCATCGTCAGCCATGTTACTCATGCGCTGACGATCGTAGACGATGACGATATTCTGCATAGGGCCGATTGGCAGCACCTGCTAAAAATGTGAACTCGCCTTGCCACTGATCTTCAAATATGGCATGGCTAATCAGTCATCTGTCACAGCACGCTTCAAAAAATATCGCGGTTTCTTGCTAATTTCAATTACTCGGTGACCAATACTAAAGTGGCTGGCAAAAATATGGAAAGGTAGCAAAACTTTAATCATAACGTTTAGCACATGAAAATAATGTTCGATGTCAATCGAAAATATATCAAACAATTTGAAATTATTACACCGCATAAAGTTCTTTATGATACTGATGTATAATTTTACCGCTACTCGACCATTTTCCTGCATTGGTAAATGATGCAGACAGAATTGAATTTCAATTTCGCAAATTGAGGCTGAGTGAAGGTAACTTCAAAAACTGTACCAATATAGAACGCTTTTGAGATCAAGTAAGTTTGATTAAAAGTGGATTGGGTGAAGCGGCTTTTGGAGAATTGTGTGATTTAGTTCATAACATTTTTAGACTGCCTCACAGTTCGCAGCAGCTGATTGATTTTTGTTTTAGCATTAATAAAAACGAAATTAAGAAACAAATTATAATTTAAAACTGTAAATAAAATAATGTTAATAATATACAATTGTAATGCACATTGGATGCAATATAAAAAATCGTTATAAAAACTGAATTGGCAAATTCTCTTAATAAAGAGGAATAAACTCCACTCAATTTCCCGATGTAATAAAAATTGGTAAATTTTTTACCATTTGGTCCATTTTTTGGTCCGAAAAATTAAAAGGAAATGGCAACCATGTTTGTGAGTGATCGCGCATGGACTACTTGCATTGTTTTTCTCATTTCTGAGAGGCCAACATCGGCAATGCTCGGACTTCTAATATTCGAGAGAGAGGAAATTTCTTTGCTTTTTTCGATCGCGAATAAAAAGCAGCTGAAATTTTTTTGTCGATCGCATTCCGAATGTGAGAGATGATAAATTTGTTTGCATTTTTCACTCGCAATAAAAGAATGCAAAAATAATTGTGGAATATTCTTGATCGCGAACGTGAGAGAATGTGAGTGAGAATTTCCGCACCCTGTATCTACAGAGGAAAGGGACTTCACATGCAATAACTATACCATTAGTATAGTATGCAAAGGGCGTAACTTACATCGTCGCTGAAACATAAAAAGCCCTAAGTAACTAAAAATCCAAAATTAACTTTTAGATTTTATGCCATAAGAAATTTTAGTTAGATGTGGCTTTTTTGCATTTCAGCCACAATGTGAAATACGCCCTTTCCATACTATATTAACGATACGTTGAAAATTTGCGTTCATTTGCCTTAAAATATCAAAGCACATGGAATGGAACAACAAAACAGATTTGATGGCTTATGGTACCGACAGCGGTGAGTAATTAATTGTGGCTGCTTGCAATTAGGAACAGTCGAGCTCAGCTAATAGAAAAACTAATTACGAGCTACTCATTACAGGTGAACCTTTTCAAGAAGTCACCCGGGCACTAAGCAGATCTGAGACCTTTATCGTCCGTCATTCCAACAATTCAAATTATTATAAAAAACGGGGTGCCTTTTTAACATAATAACAAGACTTTAATCTAATTCGGCTGGCAGCCACGACTTTCAAGACAGAATTGTTTTTGAAATTTTCATTCCTAGAAAATATCAATTTATTTGCCATATCCACCTATTTAGAACCTCGCTATAAGCACACATTTTTCAAACCAGTCACAGAAGAAAGGATTAAAAATGAAATACAAAAACTAAAATCGAAAAACGCTGATGACGCTACAGGTTCTCCTAATTCTGAAACAACCAAAAGAATGAGAATGAAGAATTCTTTGGAAAACAACGGTGTTTAAACAGCGATCCTACCATGATGCTAGATTGGGAAGATGAAAGTCAGGAGGATACATTCGACATTAACAGCCCCGATGCAATTCTCAAAAAGGAATACAAAAATAAATAAAACCGAAAGTCCTCTCAACTGGTGCAGCGTCCATCGAAAAGAATTTACAATTTTGCCAGGTTTCAATTTTTCAAGTTTGTCGCCTCGAGCGAGTAGTTGAGTAGTAGTGATTTACGACCCTTTAAGAAACAGACTGTAACCCGAAAAAGCAGCAACCTTACTTTTTATTAAATACAATGTTCCAATTATTAAATACATAAGCATTATTAAAAATTACTAACATTTCCATTTTTTATTTACCCAATTCACCTAATTTACTCACATAAATTATTTCCTAAAAATACTTGACATTCCAATTCGCATCCGCATCCGCATCCGCATATGTCTAAAATTCCACATTCGCAACATTCCTACTTGCAGCAACAGCAAATTTTTCTAAACTAGTTGCTTCGGCTGACTGTCTAATACGGTGTTCGCATGAGGCGATTTTACAGGCAACTTTTAGTAGAAAGCAACAATCGCCTGGCGTAAACGGCCTTTCAACTAATCGCTTCCAATGAAGTTGGGGGGCAACCAACTTTTGATTCAACTAATCGCCTTTAAAATTGCCTGGAAAATCTCCGCATGTGAACACCGTATAAGTAAAAACAAAATGCGCTGTAAGCAAATGATTTCCAGTGTTGCCGTTTTGGCCCATTTATCAAAAGTGATACATACGTGTTTGTGCAAATTTTCGAAAGATTTTCGTAGTAAAAATTTTTATACAGGAAAAAGAGAAAATATATACATACATATGTTTGTATGCAGTGGCATCTTTTGAAAATCGATCAAAAATATTGAAATGTTTTGGGGTCAAATAACCTTAAAGAAAAATAAAAAAAATGAACTATGCATAATGAGCTGACTGCATTCATTTTTAATTTACTTTACTCTGCGACTGCAGATCGTATATTTTCAGATTTAAAATTTATCCATTATAAAAAAGCAAATAGATTTTCATTACAAACTGTTGAGAATATAACGGAGAATATTTATAGTCAAAATTAAGTCGACACTGGAGGTAGTTTTAGCATTTTGGAATAATTTCCAACGAGATTAAGGAGCAATGTAACACATAATTTGATAATTAATGTAAAAAAGAATCGCCCCGTTGTCGAAATTCGACTACCTCACTTTTTCATACACTTTCACTTTGTTTGTGGCGCCTTTTATGTCCATGAGCACCTGTTGATCGTCTACTTCACTAATAGTATTAGGTGGAGTGATATATTTTCCGTTAAATAATTTTATAATTGGAAAAACTCGGCTCCGGGGCGACCTATCGGACTATAAATGAAATTTTTCGGAATAACTCCACTCCTGTGCCACCTACCGGAACAAACAAAATGCGCACCTCCTCTTTGAAACACCTTTCGAACAAAAGAACAATCATTCAAACCGGTTGAGAAACATGGGAGCAGTAGGGAGGAATAGATTTGTATGGGATTTCGTTAGCGTATTAATATATAGATGATCGACAGTTAATAGTTTTAAGTACATACATATATTTGTATTCAAGTTTCTGAGAAATTTATACATAATATTTTTGCTCGACCTTATACAAGATTAAAAACAATAATCTCTATTTTGGTATAGAATGTTATTATATGTAAGATATGTTTCTTCATGTACATTAGACCACGTCAAAAAAAAAAAAATCCTGCAATAAGAACAGAATAAGACTCTAGTTTTAGCTTTTGGTGTAGTAATAATCCTCCATGAATAATGTGACCAACCGTACTTCTTTCGGATCTACAGTACTTAATTTTTCGCTCTTGTACTTCGTACCTCGCACCTTTTGACGCATGATATCAGTGTTTTTGCGTCAAAAAGTACGATAGCGATTGGAAAATTGTCGCTAACTGGTTACAGAATCTCCTCCAGGTCCTATACTTCTCCGCTCTTCTGAACGACCGTCACATGGCCTGTACGATAAATTCGTTCAAACCATTAAAGTCGCCATACCTGCGCAGATGCAAAGGGCTCTGAAGGTGTCGTGCAATTGGTTGGATCCTATTTATGCGAACTGCGTGAGGACCATGTACACCCCCAAGGCTTGCGTTGATCCCCAAGGCCGGCAAAGGCTAGGGATTTTAGTCCTATCAGTCTCTTCGTTTTTTCTAAAAACGCTTTTGCTAAAAACGCTAGAGAGACTGATAGACCTGTACATAAGATGCGATTCCTCGTGACTGCCTTTAAAGAGCTCAATATGCTGATTGCAAGAAAAGGTCGGTTAATATAGCCCTGCACACATTGGTAAAGTGGTCAGCAGAAGCCTTCACGCATCAATATTATGCAGTAGGGGCCTTCTTCGATATCGCGGGAACCTTCACCAATGCCACTTCAGAGGCAATAGTCAAGTATATTCATAACCTGGGAGTTGAAACCAACCTAATAAGGCTTATCTATAGCTTAATTCGTGAAAGAACTGTCGTGGCGGAGCGGGGGAGCCTCTGTACTCAGTGCAGGGTTAATATAAGCACTCCGCAAGGTGGAGTTCTCTCTCCCCTGCTCTGGATTGCGGTTGCAAACGACCTTCTAGTGGAACGCCTATGTAGATGATGTGGCACTTTTGGTTAAGTGCGATTTCTTTACATCATTTTTGATCTGGCTCAAGGTTACTTGAATCAGGTAACTAGGCGGGCGATCAACGGCGGCTGTCATGGAAGCCTAACATTGATGAAAGTGTAGTAAAGGTGTTCGGTTGCCTTGTACTGATGTAAGGGAGCTATCAGTAAAAGGTGGGCTCTACAGGGTAATATACTATAATATAAAGTATTGTACTATTTTTCCGGTCGGCGTACTATATACTTTTGGAAAAAATATGGTACGCAACAATACTATATTTCTTTAATTATGAATATAAATATATTTCAGTAATATGCACGAAAAAATGTGTATGAAAATGGATGACCTTTATTCTGAAATAACAATATTAAATGAAATATTCTTTAAAGTAAAAGGTCATTGTGGGTTTATAACCAAAAAAAAAAGAATAACTGAGAAATAATTAACAAATTTACTTAAAATTATTTCATTACTACTCTCTATTCCAACAACTTTGGCACGGGAAGAAATTGTCCATCACTTAAAAATCGTTTTTACTTTTTCCTTTAAATAAAATACTATATTTCCTTGAAGTGTACTATATCGTTTCCAATTTTCTTGGAAAAGTACTAAAAATATCTAAGAAATTGTTGGCCACCCTAGGTCTCTCGCCCAAATTAAGTCAATAGCTCTAGGAAACCAGATTTAAGCTTATATTGTTTCAACGAACCCTTGTCTGGTGAAACTCACTAGAGAGGACTACACTTGTAAAACAGGTGACAGGTAATAAGATCAACGGAAATAAGGTCAATTGACTTTATTTCCCACCCTGGTGCGAAATAAAGTCAATTGACATTATTACCTTTTTTAAAACGAAATAAAATCCATTGACATTATTTCTCTTTCAAACATTAAATTTGCTTGCTTTTTTTAATAAAATTAACTGGTGATAGTTCATGATTGTGTGTGGATTATTATCACAACACTGAGGATTTGACAATAACCTTTTTTATCTATTAAAAAACAACACTTACGGGGAAATGTTTATTGTAAGAATAACATTTTTGTCTATGAATCGACTTACTTTAAGCATTGTTGACACTATTTCCATTTGAATGAGGAAATAGCGTCAATGACTTTATTTCCAAATTTTTGTTGACTTTATTTCGCTTTTGAAAAGGTAATAATGTAAATTGACTTTATTTCGCACCCGGATGGGAAATAAAGACAATTGACCTTATTTCCGTTGATCTTGTTACCTGTCACCGTAAAACAGGAGCATTAGGAACCACACCTACACTGGCGCTTCCCATACATATATTGAACACGGCGCACAGTGTGCTTTTTGAACACTCCATGCAATTAATCGTAGCGCTTTCGACAGAAGCAATATTTTGATATGAAACAAAATGGTTTTGAAAGCTAATGTTATTCCCTTTCACGGAAAAATACTGGCATTGACCCACAGTTACTCCTTGACCTTAAAAAATTGGTCAAAAATAGTGTTCTTCAAAAAAACATGCAAAATCCACCGGATTTGTTCAAAAAAAAAATAGTTTTGTATGTTTTATTACATAATATTATAGTCTTCGAGACGAGAGATACGATTCCTTTGCTTAAAAATCGAAAACAAATTTTGACACCTCATTTTAAGAAATGCATTTTTGATTGCATTTTTTTTTAATGCAGCTGTGCATCCTTCTCACAATTTTATATCACTCGAATAACAAGTAGCTCTAGTTCTATTCAAGATCTTTAATTTGGGCCAATATAGAAGTCTGTGGGCCCTTTGAGAGCCGAATTATAACGATTCTGAAGTTAACCTTTGAACATTTTTACATTTTTTCTTCTAATTTCAGACTAAAAACTCGTACATCAGATTCGAAGTTAGGTTTAAAATTGTTAGGCTCTCTGAAGGCCTAAAGAGCACTTTAAAACACGTTACCTCTCAAGGGCTAGCGATGGGGGTTCTGACAGGCCATTGTGCGATTGGTATTCATGCGGTGAGACGAGGAATTTCAACTGATCCTTTTGTATCAGCTGTCAAGAGGGAGATGAAGGAATAGAGATCGATGATAAACTGAAAAAAATGTATTCTATATTTCCAGCTAGACTTCTAGCAATATGTACATCGGTGAAAACTGCCTTTAATTCTATACATAATTTTTTGCGCGATGCGCTTACAAACATGTTGCTATACAGCCAGACAGACCGACCAAAATTCCAAAAATTGTTGATTTGGCTTCTGTTGATCTAATAAACCCCCTACTAATTTTTTTTAATATCTATTAAGCACAGATATCGGCCTTTTACAATTTTATTATTCTCACATACCTTCGTTTGATACCCATATGGCAACATTTAGGTTAGCTGAAATATATTTATCAAATAGGTGGCAATCCGCTTCAAAAATATATAAATAAATAGTAAGCTTCCTAAACCTTTTTAGTTTAATATCCGTATTGCAATGTTTCATTTCTTTTACCAATTTAAATGGTCAAAATTTTTCAAACAGGTGGCAGATCCCTTAAAAATACTTTCGGCATTAAAATTTCCTAACCTCTTTAGTTTGATGTCAATATTGCAATATTTAATCTATGTCAATTAAATAAAAGTTTTGAAACACGCGGCGTATCAATTTACTTAAACTGAAATTTTCAAACAGGTGGAAACTCTCTAATTTTTTTCTTCTGTATTGTAAGTTAGACCTCTAGCGATACACAGGTGAAAACTTAATTCGATTCCATGCATTACTTTTCGAGTTATGCGGGTACAAATATGCAGACAGGCAGACAGGCATAGATTCTAAAACTTGCTCTAATAAAGACCCCCCATATTAATTTTTATTTAATATCTATCATGTACAGACATCGGCCTGCTACAATTTTATTATAAGTACAGATATAGATTTCATTTATTTTATCAATTTAATTCAATAAAATTATTCAAACAGGTGGCAACCCTCCTGTTTAGTTTTGTAAAACTAAATCTTACTGATTATTCCCGTTATCTTTCAACGATAATAATTGCAGCTATGTAAATAATATACATATACACACGTAAAGGATACTTATACACATGTGGTACGCACATTGTTAATGTACCTAAGTGTTAATCGATAAAAACGGCGAAGGTTTTGATCTTCTTATGATGCGCATGTGCAAATAGATCACAACATTCATACGTACGTTCAACCAAATAATGAGATAAGAAAACGTTGTCACTAAAAACATGCATGTGCATCAACGTACACCCACACACACATACATTGTAAATACACTTCTACACACAAATATGTAAATATAGACTAAGTAAAAGTTGTATTGTTAGATATAGGAAATTACTTATAAATCAGTTATACGTTCATCTCTGAAACACCTCCTAAAAAACACTTTCGGCAGTAAAATTTCCTAAACCTCTTCAGTTTGATACCCATATTGCAATATTCAATTTGACCTATAAATTAAATTAAATTAAAATTTTCTAACAGGTGGCAACTCTCAAAAAATATTTTCGGTTGTAAGGCTCCCTAAACCTCTTTCTTTTGACGCCCATATTGCAATGTTCACATTTTCTTATCAATTTACTTAACCTGCCATTTTCGAACAGGTGGCAACTCTCAAACTTTTTTCTCTCTATATTTTAAGTTAGACCTCTAGCAAAACATTCGTGAAAATAGCATGCAATTCCCTGCATTCGTTTTCGAGTGATGCTCGTGCAAACGTATAGACAGACAGACAGACAGACGAAAATTCTTAAAATGGTTCATTTGGCTTCTATTGCTCTAATAAAGACCCTCCATATAAGTTTTTCTTTAATATCTATATTGTACAGACATCGGCCTGTAACAATTTTATTATACGTATAGATGTCATGCTGCATCTCTAACCGATATTCGGGCTGAACTTGTACCAATCAGGACTGTAAATAGTTTTTTGTTTTACCTCGCTTTTATTAGCTTGGGATGTAACTATGTAATATTGATGAGCCTTAAAGATACAGCGATTTCCATTCTCAAGTTACATACCTGATGACAGTACGAATGGAAATTTTAATAGCGAGGTTTTAGATTTTTAAACTATAATTTTATTAATATTTTAATATTTTATTGTACGAGAAAAGTCATGTTTGCGTATTAATATATAAGATGATGGACAGTAAGTACATACATATATTTAAGTACATACATATATTTGTATTCAAGTTTCTGTGAAATTTATACATAATATTTTTGCTCGTCTTTATACAATACAATACGTACATATGTATGTATGCAGCGGCAGCTTTTAAAAATCGATCGAAAATATTGAAATGTTCTGGGGTCAAATAAGCTTAAAGAAAAATGCTTTAAATGAACTATGCATAATGATCTGGCTGCATTCAGTTTTAATTTACTTTACTCTGTGCCTGCAGAGCGTATATTTTCAGATTTTAAATTTATCCATTATTAAAAAAAGAAATAGATTTTCATTACAAACTGTTAAGAATATAACGGGGCATATTTATAGTCAAAATAAAGTCGAAACTGAAGGTAGTTTTAGCTTTTTGGAATAATTTCCAACGAGTTTAAGGTGCAATGTATCACATAATTTGATACACTTTCACTTTGTTTGTGGCGCCTTTTATGTCCATGAGCACTTGTTGATCGTCTACTTCACTAATAGTATTAGGTGGAGTGATATATTTTCCGTTAAATAATTTTATAATTGGAAAAACTCGGCTCCGGGGCGACCTATCGGACTATAAATGAAATTTTTCGGAATAACTCCACTCCTGTGCCACCTACCGGAACAAACAAAATGCGCACCTCCTCTTTGAAACACCTTTCGAACAAAAGAACAATCATTCAAACCGGTTGAGAAACATGGGAGCAGTAGGGAGGAATAGATTTGTATGGGATTTCGTTAGCGTATTAATATATAGATGATCGACAGTTAATAGTTTTAAGTACATACATATATTTGTATTCAAGTTTCTGTGAATTTTATACATAATGGCTGCATTTCTTTATTCATTCTGAACGTTTGGAATAAACTTTTTTGTTTGCTTATTCTTTAGAACGTTCCGGATGATATGTTAACGTATATTTCAAACGCATTCTGTTTATTCCGGCTGTGAAATGGGATTATCCGGAATGTATAAAGAAACGCAGCCAATATTTTTGCTCGTCCTTATACAAGATTAAAAACAATAATCTCTATTTTGGTATAGATTGTTATTGTATGTAAGATATGTTTCTTCATGTACATTAGACCGCGTCAAAAAAAAATCCATCAATGCGAACGGAATAAGACTCTAGTTTTAGCTTTTGGTATAGAATTGATCCTCCATGAATAATGTGACCAACCGCACTTCTTTCGGATCTACAGTACTTAATTTTTCGCTCTTGTACTTCGTACTTCGCACTTTTTGACGCATGATATCAGTGTTTTTGCGTCAAAAAGTACGATAGCGATTGGAAAATTATCGCTAACTGTTTACAGAATCTCCTCCAGGTCCTATACTATACTACAATCTTCTGAACGATCGTCAAACCATTAAAGTCGGCATACCTGCGCAGATGCAAAGGGCTCTGAAGGTGTCGTGCAATTGGTTGGATCCTATTTATGCGAACTGCGTGAGGACCGGGTACATCCCCAAGGCTTGCATTCATCCCTAAGGCCGGAAAAGGATCTCATATTTCCCCTAGGGATTTTAGTCCTATCAGCCTCTTCGTTTTTTCTAAAAACGCGTTTGCTAAAAACGATAGAGAGACTGATAGACCTGTATATAAGATGCGATTCCTCGTGACTGCCTCTAAAGAGCTCAATATGCTTATTGCAAGAAAAGGTCGGTGAATATAGCCCTCCACGTATTAGTAAAGTGGTCATANAGGGAGGAATAGATTTGTATGGGATTTCGTTAGCGTATTAATATATAGATGATCGACAGTTAATAGTTTTAAGTACATACATATATTTGTATTCAAGTTTCTGTGAATTTTATACATAATGGCTGCATTTCTTTATTCATTCTGAACGTTTGGAATAAACTTTTTTGTTTGCTTATTCTTTAGAACGTTCCGGATGATATGTTAACGTATATTTCAAACGCATTCTGTTTATTCCGGCTGTGAAATGGGATTATCCGGAATGTATAAAGAAACGCAGCCAATATTTTTGCTCGTCCTTATACAAGATTAAAAACAATAATCTCTATTTTGGTATAGATTGTTATTGTATGTAAGATATGTTTCTTCATGTACATTAGACCGCGTCAAAAAAAAATCCATCAATGCGAACGGAATAAGACTCTAGTTTTAGCTTTTGGTATAGAATTGATCCTCCATGAATAATGTGACCAACCGCACTTCTTTCGGATCTACAGTACTTAATTTTTCGCTCTTGTACTTCGTACTTCGCACTTTTTGACGCATGATATCAGTGTTTTTGCGTCAAAAAGTACGATAGCGATTGGAAAATTATCGCTAACTGTTTACAGAATCTCCTCCAGGTCCTATACTATACTACAATCTTCTGAACGATCGTCAAACCATTAAAGTCGGCATACCTGCGCAGATGCAAAGGGCTCTGAAGGTGTCGTGCAATTGGTTGGATCCTATTTATGCGAACTGCGTGAGGACCGGGTACATCCCCAAGGCTTGCATTCATCCCTAAGGCCGGAAAAGGATCTCATATTTCCCCTAGGGATTTTAGTCCTATCAGCCTCTTCGTTTTTTCTAAAAACGCGTTTGCTAAAAACGATAGAGAGACTGATAGACCTGTATATAAGATGCGATTCCTCGTGACTGCCTCTAAAGAGCTCAATATGCTTATTGCAAGAAAAGGTCGGTGAATAT